ACCAAATGTAAAGATAACTTGATCGCTAAATTCAACCTCCTGTCAAAAAAGAAGCCAGAGCCACACGTTAAAAATTAGATGTTAACAAGATTGTCATCAATCATAGTAACATCCCAATTTCCGACAGCCTAAAATCGGTACTAGCTAAAGGGTTGAATTTCGCAGTCACCCCTAAACACATCCCAGTGGATAATATAATTGCCCAGGTCGACGTAGCCCTCAAAGGCTTGGGACACATCCCGGCAGACATTGCTAGATCTGAAATCGCTATCCTCAAAAACGCTAAGAAACCCATTAGCAACATCAGCAAGGACGAGCGTTTTGAACTCTCTAAATGAAAAAACAGATGACATTGTCATTCTCTCAGCCGACAAGGGCAATGCCACTGTCATCATGGATAAAACCACTTACAACAACAAAATTCAGGACCTTCTTCATGATGGCAGCTATACCGAAATCAACAGAGATCCCACCAACCGCCTAGCCACACAAACCAACAATATCATCACGGAATCAACTTCTCTAATCGATCAGACCAAGCAGAGCTCCTTAAAACCTTCAGCTGCTAGACCACCCAGATTTTATGGCCTTCCAAAAATCCACAAAGTAGGTACCCCGCTCCGTCCTATCGTCTCCACCATTAACTCACCCACCTACAAACTGGCCCGATTTCTGTCTTGAGACCCTGCTTCCTTTTACGGGCAAGTCCACCTCAGCTGTACTTAACTCAGCTCACTTGGTTTCTCTAATCAAGGACAGATGATTTGCTTGTCAGTTTTGATGTAGTCTCTCTGTTCACCAATGTACCTGTACCTGACACCATTGCAATCATTGAAGACTTGGTCCAACAAGGACTGAATCCAGATGTACCAACTTTGGTAAGGCACTGCCTTACCAACACATACTTCACCTGGAATGGTACATTATACAAACAAAATGAGGGTACCCCAATGGGTTCTCCCTTATCGCAGTGGTCGCGAATGTTTTCATGGAGAAACTTGAGACAGATGCCATCCAGACACCCACCCTAGGTCCTACCTTGTGGAAGAGATACGTAGATGACACATTCGTCATCTGGTCACATGGCCTGCCAGCACTGAACCAATTTCTCAACCACATCAATTCCATACACCCGTCTATCAAATTCACCACGGAAGTGGAAAAGGATGGCAAGCTACCATTCCTGGATGTTTTGATCGAGAAGAGACCTGATGGCTCATTGGGACATTCGGTCTATAGGAAAGCCACCCACACGGATGCCTATCTAAAGCCTGACTCCCACCACCATCCAGCCCAGAAGAATTCCCTCATCAAAACACTACAATATAGGGCCCGTTGCATCTCCGACCAGCACCACCTAGCCAGTGAGTTGGAGCACATACACCAAGCCCTCAGGATTAATGGATACTCGGACCGTACAATCCGCAAAGCTGTCTCCCCCAGCCATGGGGAGACAAACTTCTGAGGATCCCACCAAAACCATCACTTTACCATACATAGCAAGGGTTACCAAAAAGATTTTCAAAATCTTAAAGAAACACAAGATCCAGGTTCGTTTCAACACAGTACACAAAATCCGTGATTTAATCCCATCTGTAAAAGATGCGATTCCTGACATGCAATACCCTGGTGTTTACAAACTCAGTTGTGGTTGCGGCAGCAATTTCATTGGGGAAACGAAACGACATGTCTCGGACCGCGTTCGTGAACACAAGGCAGATCTGAAACACGATAGGACCAATACCTCTGCCGTTGCTGATCATTGTTTTAACGCTGTGGGCTCACACGAAATAGATTTTTCCAAGACGGAGGTACTCTGCAAACCTACTGGCTACCTTCATAGATTTGTTCATGAAGCCATCCAGATATACACATAAACACAGACACAACTTCAACCGAGAAGATGGGTACGAACTGAGCAATCATTGGAAGAACGTTAGAAACCAGGTAAAGTCTTAACTGACTGATGTTTCCATCATACCTGTCTGTCAGCTGTTATTTCCGACTCTCTGTCTCTCTCTCTCTCTTAGATCTCTCATGCTCACATGTCCTTTGCATTGTTACTCTCATGCCTTTGGATTGCACTCTCAAGCTCACATGTCCTTTGGATTGCACTCTCATGCTCACAAGTCCTTTTGATTGCACTCTCATGCCTTTGGATGGCACCACTCTTCGTTCTTACGTTAACATGCTAATCTCTCACATTAACGTAGCCGCTTCCGTGCCCTCGTCGAGGAGGCCGCTCTCCGTTCTCACATCAACATCACTAGCCCCGCCCACTTCTTTATGACCCTTGGGCTACACACCCATTTCAAACCTTTTAAAACAGTCTGCCTTAGTAGGAGATCATGCTTTCCCACCTGATGACGCCCGAAACGTCGGGATTTATTTTATTTTATACCTACGCGACTTTACCGAAAGAACCAAAGAGTATGAACAGCTCTATAATTTCCCCATCTCGAACCATCTTGGTCAGAAATGCTTATTCTCGCTTTTCTTTTAATCCTGCCAAGTTAATTACCTATCTGTGTGGGGCGCCATGGTGGCGAGATGTTAACTGCCTTGCATGGTATACAGGTCATGGGTTCGCTCCCGACCATAACGCCTGTATATTTTGTGTTTGCATGTTCTCCCCATGGTCACATGGATTTTTCCACATTTAGAAACATCCGTCTACAGTATTTGGCCACTATAAAGTCACTTTGTTGAGCTATCATTTGTGGTCAGATAGATTCTGAAAACGATCTGCATAGCTCAGTGGGCCTTACCTAGTAAAATAAAAAAAAATAGTACCATATATACGTGTATGGAGGAACATGGTAAAGAACCCGGCCAGGAGACTCAGCAGTATAACGAGCGGCTCACAATCGGAAGGTGGAGAGTTAAAATCTTGGTGGAGGGTTGACTCGTCCCATCATCCCTCTGGGGTCGATACAATTAGTACCATTTGGTGGAGAATTCAACAGTGGTTGTGCTATGCGTAACAGACTCGCCACCACCAGAGGAACATGGAATTTCCACCATTTCCTCAGGATTGTAAAGGGGAAGAGCACTGATGCCTCCATGCGCGTTGAACGGGCGGATGACATTGACTTGTATTTGTAAGAGCAGCACCGTGGATTGGACATAGGAACTCTTAACCTAAGGATGTGGCCCATGATGAGTCTGTCCAGATGCCTGGCTTCGACTTAACCTCCCAAGGTGCCAGTGGGTTCAGTTTAACCGATTCCGGTGTGACCAGGGGGTGTGTGCCGTTTCCGAACATCGATGGGGCGTACTACGTGATAGCCCGCTGTGTGAATGCGGGAAGGAGGAGAACCATGATGCACATCATCTCTGGCTGTGAAATCTGTCAGGGTATGCCGGGCGGACTGGTTGTCCTACACATGCTGGAGGAGGCCGACATGGTTTTGTGGCTCCGGGGGCTGATGTCTACTCACATAAAAACTAACAAGCATATGTATTTGCTTATTTTTCTTGCATATCTGGCTCTCTAACTGTATGTAAAAGCATTTGCTGAATAAAATTATGAGAGTAGCGTCACGAAAGCCACTGCAATGATCGGGTAGCAGCAGCGCATATACAAAACCTGGCAGGAGCAGAGAGGCCAGTCTTGCCGGCCACTCGCGTAGTAGTGGCTTTGAATAATTTAATCTGCGGTCCCGGTCGAGTTACCCACGTGGCTTGTGTTCCCAAAATAACACTTCAATAACAAGCACCCTGGTAGGAGTCACAAACTCGTGCGGGATAGTCCCTGATACCCATGCATGTTATGGTTGAGGTTAGGAATGCTCACCATTCCTCTCTGATGAACCCCATGAGATCTTTGTGATTCGTAACTCTTCTGTCCATGTTTAGCAGGAAAACTTTTTTGTGGGTTGCTCAGTGATCAGAGGTTGCACTAATCGTATTGATGAGGTGATTGAAGCATCCTGCACGAAGCCTGGTAACGAACCTTCTCAGAGTATTCTAATGTGGAAGCCAGGTGCTCGCAGCTGGCAAAAACCTCAAACGCTAAACCATCGGGTCACAGTGGTCTCCCAGAATGCCCTCATTGCCAATGTCATCAGCTGGAGAGATCGGCTTAGATATTTTTAAACAGATGGGGAGGACGCGTCAGTGGGGAATGTTAGACATGTCGTGTATGTACGTCTCTCTGATGAAGAAGTCATGGAGTTGGAATGATGGTTCGCACTGGACTGCAAATCAGGGAAATCGACACAGCCAGACTGAGCCGCAACATGCTGTGAATAGCTACAAGAAGAGATCACCAGTATATGCAGGTCAGTCACTTTCAGTTTAAATCGGTTCTTGTAAAAATACAAGACTAGCATGCAACCGCTGGTTTAAAGGGGTTAGAGTCTTCGGTGTTTTTATTGGCCGGGTCCAGTCATTTTGGTGACCAGGTCACACTCTTGCAAAAGAGGCTCTTCCTGGTCTACTGAGTTCTTGCCTGGTTAAGAAAAATAAACTTTGAACGCAGCTGTTGTGTGTATTTGGTGCATTTAGTGGGTGAAATGTCAGAGAAGTTTATTATGGGAATCATGGTCATGTAAGCGGGTGAATCTTTATGGCGGGTTCCAGCATCGCCGTGTCATCAGTTTGGCTAGAGGAGGGTTACGTGTCGAGCCCCCCCGCCCCACCGTGGAGGTGTGGGAGGGGAGAGGTTTGATGAGGGAAGACCAGGAGCCCTGCTGGGCCCTGCTATATGCGGGACATAGCGTTACTGGCCTCCAGTGCACGTGAACACCCACACCAAGCGGAACAGTCAAATGGCGCCAACCTCGGCAAAACTAGGAATGTGGAATTTACACCACTGGGTGAGGCTGTGAGCAGGAGAAGAGCAACTCCTCCATGCTCGTGCGAACGGGAAACCACTCAGACTATTGAATGGCGCGTACTATTTTGGCTAACGAGCTTAATTGCATTTCAGTCCGATGACAAATTAATTAGAAACAAAGCTGCACGTGGACATCGTAATGAAAACTTTAATAACTTACCCTTGAAGAATTTTCTTTAACAGAGTTGCTATCAGGGTGGGTCCTTGCGATCCGAGTTTCTGTGTTTAGGTTGAGACTCATTTGGAAAGTGTTCTTTAGCTGCTCCACTGTGAGTGATCCGTTCGCTCCGTATTTTTCCAGAATTTTTAGCAGTAACATTTCAGCGGAAAACTCTGATGTATGAGACCATGATTGCATAGGGTAGAGGGCAAGAATGAGCATCGAGCAGTCTATCCAGGAAGGCCGCAGTCGACATGGAAAAGGCATGGTGAGAGGGCAGCTGAATTATGATGGCAGATTAGACTTCTCAGCAACCAGAAATGTCCCAGGAGAATCAGTTGCTTTCCTAGACAAAAAGAAAAAAACATTTAAATATTGGAAACAACAAAAAAACATGAATATTTAATTATATGTGTGTATGTATATTTTGTGGGGTGCAGTGGCGCAGTGGTTAGAGTACTGCACTATGAACATGGTGACCAGTTTGATTCCCACTCACGACTAATAACAGTGGCGAATATCTGAACCAATCCTGGCACTCCCCCTAGATTTAATCAGCCTCAAATGAGTACCTGGTGCAGTATGTACACATCAGCACTGCGGAGACAAAGGCATTAGTGTTGGCCACCCACCCGCTTGTGTGCCGTGCCAGTCTTCATAGGTGCTTGCTAACAGCACTTGCCCCAACAGTCTGTTAAGGCTACACGGGGGATCTTTGTCTTTGTATATTTCCATGCACGAACATGGTATGCAAAATCAGTTTTACTTATACACGCCACAAACAACAATAAAGACGTAATGTAATACAATATTATTGCATGTACAGTACTCATTCAGCTTTCCGATATTTATCCTGCCCTGCCGCACAATCTTGCGGCACAAGATTGCGTGTGTCGTTCGTGTTGATGTTTATCGGACTGTTGACCGTGGACGTCTTGCGCTCGGTATGTGGGCTCCGGCATCACCGTGAGATATCGGCTCATTTGTATTCGAATTAACGATGTCCATTTCACCCAGATAGCAGGTGACACAAAAGCATGTCACAGGTGGGCCGCGAGAAAGCTCCTGTCGCACCTCCTAGCTTTGACATTCCTCCTCAAAGACACTGGTGTAACCATCAACCACATCAACACATCATCAATAGGCCGCTGCGTCCGTCTCATTCATAATGGAAATTAAAGACAAGCCAGAGTGCGATTGTGGGCATACAACCCAATCTATGGACCGTGTAGTAAACCACTGTAGTCTGTACTCCTGTAATGAGGGGAGGACCAGGAAAACTATACAAACCCTCTCCTGTAGCCCTCTCGTCATGGTGATCAGACCTCAACATCAGTATTTAGCTCCTGAACATATTGCCATCATACGCAAAACTATAATCGGCTCTTTTCACATGTCGGCAATTTTCTCTTGTCCAGTTTTTTTTGCAAAAAACACGCCGATGTCTCCGTGACCAACAACGCAGCAGGTTGCCAGGCAAGAAAGGTTTGGAGGTTTCACTCAAATGCGACTGCCTAACGCACGGCTTTGGGAGAGGCCCACATGCATCTCAGCCAGCACCTATTAAGGGACTGTGTGTTGTCTTTGTGTGGCCTGGGACTGTATTTTGTTGTTTTGCTGCATTGCCCAAGCTTGGGAATTGGTGTACTTATGCAATTTTAATTTAGATAATTAATCTGAATTATGTAATTATTTGAAGTGATTTGCTTACCTTTCCTATACTTTGCACACCTATCGTTTTTTGCATTGTTGTTGTTGCAACCTTCTGACCCACCTCTACTGGACATCTGTGAAAAAAGAGCTTCAGAGCTCATCGGATTTCTCAAGGATAAATAAAGATTCTGAGGTCCGCCAAAGTTCAGTCGACTGAGCCCGGGCCAATAGGCCAAAGAGCGCGCGCCATGCATGCTGTGCGCTGCTCCTGATGATCGATGGGGGAGGGCCTGTTCACATCTGCACCTCCGATGAGTACGGTTGGCTACATATGGTGTGAAAGAAGTTCAACATACATCACCGATCCTGGCTTTCTATTCTTCCAAGCATCTTCCCCAATGTAGGGGGCTCTCACTTAATGTATCACATGGAGTTTATTTTAAACAAAAATGATTTCTGGTTTCTCACCGAGCGTAAATTTCCCAACGTGTTTTCATGCTCAAGGACCGTGTTTTGTGAATACCCAATCCCCATCCAGTCCACAAACTGGGTGTGTGGCCCAGCGATCTGCAATTCTTGAGACATGTGCTTGTGTAGTGATGTATAGAGTCACTACGGTGTCTAGCGCCAGCCACTGGAAGAAGAGTGGTACACTGTGCATGTTAGCGTCTCTCTGGCACCAGAGTGTGTGTGTATGGCATAAAAGCGGGCTTCTGGTGACGGCCAGAGAGAGGGCACTTCAGGACATGCCAGTCTGCGTGAACCCGAGAGGGCACGTGATCAGGAGAGGGTAGCGAGGGGGGCCAAGGGGTAGCAAGAGGGACACATGACATAAGGCCCAGAACCTTCTAGTAGGATCTAGAAGGGGGCGTGGCCTAGGGCGAAGCCAGACCATGCTCAGGGGCATGAAAGGGAAGTCAACCCGCCATGCTACGTCTCCTCGCTCTTCGGTCTTCGGTTGTCACGTTCGGTATCGTGGGTCAGGCAGTACGTTACTGACCTAACCCGGCTATGTAGTTGCCCATTGTGGTTATTTCGTTAGTGGAAGTTGTTACCACCTATGTCGTTATCTCGTATGTTTATGTAGTTACCCTGACGGGGTGTGTTTCCGTGGATGCCACTACAAGTGTAAACATATTCTGTTCATCTACTGCCGATGCAGAAGTCCCCATGCCATGCGGGTCATGCGGGGCTATTTGACCATACTTCAATATGCTGGTCAGGCTGTAGCCCCGAAGTCTACTCAACCCTGTACACTTTACTCCCTGCATCTCACAAGATCAGGTGCCTTCCAGGTGTCCTGGTGAATGTCTACACCTTCATGCAAACGATGCAATCCAAACAACTGATTAAGTGTGGGCTTAAGCCCAGCATTGTCATTTAAATCGGTGTCTGTGTGTGGACATGCAAATATAGCTTGTGCACAAACATGCACATGCATTAGTGTGCATTTAAACCCCCGCAACTTAGGACAAGCTTGATAACACCCCTTTAATTCCAGAGGGAAATCCAACAACACTACATTTACAATGTCCTCCTACAATACGATGCATCTCCTAAATGGTAACTTAGTTGGTGTGTAATGGGCCAACTGGAATCTGGCACCAAACGTGCATATGGTGAGCAAAACCCATAATAAAGGATTAACGGTGATGTCACCATGGCGCCTATGCCAGGCTAGGTGCACTTTGAGGCCACGTGAAGTGTCAAAGGTTCGCTGACAGGAGGTCTCGAGACAGACCCATGTGCCATGGGTTGGCTGACTGATATGACTGGTAGATGTACCAGCTGTACCGACTTGCTGCATTTCAGCCACCCGCGCTCCGCTCATTGTTGTGAGCGTCTCTCCTCTGCCCTCTGTTATTGCTGGAGGGCGACTGCCTCCAACTTCCCAGTAACGTCCTTCATGAGCATAGATGCCAATCTTGACACCGCGGGTACCAATCTTTGGCAAGTCCACTCAGCTCCACATCCTTCTGTACCATGTCTTGCCCATTTAACCCCCTCTATGCGACCAAACAGAAGCTGCTTGGGCAAACAGTGGCTGTGCATGCGGGCTACATGAGCTCATTGATGGGAATGCGCTCAGATCTTTCAAGGATTTATTAGCTCCTAACACAATCCAGCCTAGTGAAACCAAGGATGGATCATGGGCATGTCAGCCTGAATGTTTCTAACGATGCAAATGTTCAATTTTAAGGGTCCAACGTTTCACAAGCATAGAGAAGGGAGGGCATGACTGTGGCCGAGAAGACCTGAAGCTTCGTGCGGAGCGACATACCAGGTAGCTTCCACACAACATTGCGCAACCGTTGAAAAGATAATGCTGCCCGACTGATTCGGAGTGAGACCTCTACTATCAAACCAAAGCTGGTCATCAGCACACTGCCCAGGTATGGGAAATTGTCCACTCTCTACAAAACTGCTCCATCACCAATGGGGAGCTGAGGGGGTGGAGCCTTTGGTGGCTCAAAATACCCAGGCAGGTGCTTAGTTTGGTGGTGCTGATGGTAAGACCCAACCTCTTAGTGGCACACTCCAGGTTCAACAGCAGTGCTTCCAACTCCCCCTCGGAGTGAGCAGCATTAGGATACATAAAATGGTTGACCAATAGGGAGCCATCCCTCGACCACACCCGTGCATCAATCAGCCTCCTCTCGTGTCTGTACCAGATGGAAATTCCTCCGGTACAGCCATGGGAAGCTTCTGGAACCACGTGATCAAAGATAATGTTAAATAATGTGGGAGCCGGAGGATATTCCTGTCGCACCCCAAGGTGAACAGGGAATGGCTCCGACTCCTGGCCACGTAGGTTTACCCAGGCCTGCACACCATCATGAAGGCCCTTAATGATTGAGAGCAGAGTCGGGGACTCCGAAAGCACGAACTGCCCACAGCCCTGGCCTGTTGATGGTATCATAGAGGCCTTGACCAGGTTAATAAAGCAGAGATGTAGGGCTTTTTGGACTTCGCTATACTTCTGCTGTAGCAGACGGATAGAGAATATGACATACGTGCAGGAACGCCCTGGTCTGAAACCACATTGGGGGTTTCCGCAAGCCTCTCCCTTAGCGTGCCTGGCAAGGTGATGTTGAATAATCCTTGCCAGGACCTTTCCCGGCACACTGAGAAGAGAGATGCCCCTATAGATGTTACAATCTGTGTGGTCCCCCCTCTTAAAGAGAGAGACCACCTGGGCATCCTTCCAATCCTGCAGAACCCGTCCAGTGGTCCAGACAGTTGTGATGTCATGTAAGCCAGTCTGCACACAGATGTCACCCTCCCTCAGCATTATGCTTGGGAGATCGTCTCTGCCCGGCACTTGTCCTGGTCTCAAACTTTGGATCGCCCCTCGCACTTCCTCCACAGATGGCACCTCAGCCAACCATTCAGAAGGGGCGACTACTTCTGCCAATATTTGAGGCACGGCAGCCCAAGCAGGGTCGTCCCCACCTTGCCCCATGATGTTGTCTGGGCTGAGGGAATTCCCAACCCCCAAGACCTCACAAAAATGCTCCTGCAAACCTGCATACCTATTCCTGGGGGTCGGAGATAAGATTACCATTCTTTCCCTGAAGGATGGTGATAAGTGAGGCGCTGCAAGATACTTGCTGGAATTGTATAGTGAATTGTGATTGCGGGCCACTGAGGCAGATTCCATCTCCTCAGCAACCCGCCACTACTCACCCTTGC